ACCAGCCCTACAGCCCCACTGGAGCTCTTGTGGGTGCCACCAGAGCAGGAGGAGGGGGGCAGGATGGAACCACAGCAGGGCACAGAGCTCTGGATGCCATCGAGGCATCTCGCTAGGTGTCCTCCGATCCCTGCTCTGGCACATCCAGGGAACAAAAGCTCTTCAGAGCCCGTGGGCTGATAATCACTCCTTGTTTCAATGCTGGAGTCCTCCCCCTGTCCCTTGGGGATCTGAAGCGCAGAGATTTCTCAAAGTCGGACAAAACAAGACACCCTGGAGGCTGGAAAACCTCATGGCTTTGTTTTCTCTTGTGCAAAACGATACTCCAGAGCTGGGCAGTTATCCCCTATTCCCAGAGTTTGGGAGTGCTGCAGGGCTGATCGCTGCTGATCTCTGTGTTCCAGCACCCCCTCACTGTTGCTTCCCAGGTGTCTTGCCTGTCCCCATGAGTACCTGGCTCCCACACACCCCTTGGGATGGGGCGCCGTGGGGTGCTGTGTGGGCTGCATGTACTGGCTGGTGTCCCCAGAGCGGTGCAGGCTGGTCCCCAAGCCATGCTGTGGGGTGGATGTGTCCATTGTGGTGTGGGGTTTGGCAGGGCTCTAGTGCAGCCTCTCTGAGCAGGTGGAGGTGACAGGCTGTGGTGTGATGCCACAGTTTCAGTGTCAGGGGATGCCCTGGGATGCCTCTGTCAGGGGGACAGCTCTTCCAGGGCTGTGCTGAGGGCTGGGGTGCTGGCACAGCCACTCTGCCAGAGCACTCTGCTCCTGGCCCTTTCCTGTGACAAAAAGCTCAGGTCCCCATGGGGGGTGTGGTCCTGTGAGGGCCCTGTGCCCGTGGCATGGCCGATCCCAGCAGGGCGCACTGCCAGTCCTGCTCCTGGTGCTTTTTCCCACTTGTAAAGGGGCATTTTCCCACTTGTGTCCATTTTGCCACTTGTAAACGGGCAGCCCTGGCCTGCTCAGAACTGTCTGACTTTTGGAGCTTGATATTTTCTTTAAAATAATTCTGTGCTCAGGCAATGTGCAAAGGTTTCTCAGAGCTGCCAGCTGTTCCCGTGCCATTGTGCTGCCCTGGCCTTGTTGGGGTCAGTGTGAGACAGGCTGTCCTGCAGGCATCACTTTGTCTGCACAGGATGCTTTGCTGAATCTCTGGCAGTTGGAGTTGCCCCGCAGGAGCTCCATGGATGTGGGCAGAGGCCCTGGTGAGGGAGAGGGGGAAGAAGGGAAGGTTTGACACCCTGATGCTGCCAGGGACAGCAGCAGAGCTCAGTGCCAGCAGGGTCAGGCCCTCTGTGGTTGGTGGGACAGGGGCCTGGCTGGCATGTCACTGCAGTGCCCAGCCAAGGGCACATTTCCTTGGCCCCACACGGGCCCCCCAAAGGACCCTTGGGGCTGGCAAGGGGCCCTGCTGCCCCCAACCTGTGTGTGCTCCTGGCCCTGGGCATGCTGCAAGCAGGAGTTGGGAAGCTGCCAGTGCTGATGATGCTTATTTTGCTGTCTGGGAGTTCCATTAACCTGGTGTTAATTTCATTAACTTCCTTTTAAACCAGCAATTAGCTTGGCCATGGCTGTTGGTCCTGTGCCCAGAGCTGCTGTCTGTGGTGACTGGGATGCACCCGCCAATGCACAGCCTTGAACAGGGAATGCAAAACTGATTCTGTCCAAAGACTGTGGGCTTTGCTGGGGGGCTGGGCCACCTGGACTCGTCCCTGGCCATGCTGTGAGAGGACATGGGGATCAGCACCCCTACCCCAAGATGTGAGGGACTCACTGGAGCTTTGTGCTGGAGGTCAGTGGCAGCCCTGCAGCTGTGAGGGTGTCCCAGCGACTCCCAGTTCAAACTGGGCTGCTGGGAGGACCAAGGGCAGGGCCTGAGTGCTTCTCCTGACTCTGAAACTGCCCTCAGAGACACCACAAGTACTTGCAGAGCCATGGGGCAGTGCTGCCCTTACGCCTTTTCAAGTGCGATGCCAAAATGAGCTCCCCCACCTTGCTATGAGCGGTGCCTGGGACCCAGGGGCTTTGGAGGGGTATGTTGGGTTTTTACATTTTTCATTTTTTTCTGGGATGTGCTGGTCCCTGGAGCTGAATGGCTCAAGGCTGACTGCAATGTTTGTTTCCAGACAGACACTGAGTGCTCAGACGTGATGTTCTGACTCCAGAGCAGGGAGTGAAGGGATCGGTACTGGTGTGAAATACCTCACAGCTCTCCCCTTGGCTGCGTCCTCTCTGGGTTTGGGGTGGGGACAGCAGCAAGACCCTGGGGAAGCTTCGTTTGTCCCATCTAAAGAACAACCCCAGCACCAAACCAGCGTGGGTGCAGCTTGCTTTCTCTCGTCCCTGCCTCAGCAGGCCCTCGGTGGGGCCGGGCGGGCGATGGGGCTGCGAGGTACCAACAGAGCTGGTCTGTGAAACTTGGCCGGGAGCACAGAGGGAGATTGATGTTTGCTCGGGCCCTCAGCTGCAGGCTCTGCCTGCCCCTGCACCAGCTGGGGACAAAAGCCCCGGCCCCGGGTGGCACTGCAGGGCTGGCGTAAGCCCCCCAGGACAGCTGGCAGCTCTGTAAGGTTGGCGCCTGCCCAGCAAGCCGGAGTGGTGGGGCCGAGGGGCCACGCAGGGAGGTTTGCCCTTGGGATGCTGCACATGCTCGGGTGTCTGAGCTCCACCGCAGAGCTGGAACCCCCCCTGGCCCCACCTCTGCCTCATCCTGGGTCCTGTCCTTTGGCCAGGCCTGGATGGGTGGAAAGGGGCTGGGGTGACTGTGGGGAGCACCCCACAGAGCTGGGTGGGGAGAGAAAGTGATGAGGTTTGGGGCTGAGGGCTTGCAGGGGGCTCCTGCACAGCCCTCCTGGCATCTCCCACGTGGGATTAAATGTGACAGTCATCATTATGTCAGAAAAATCACCCGTGGAGAGGTAATGATATTTATATGGGTTAATGGTGGGTCAGGGCTCCTGTCCCCACAGGGCAGTTGTGCCTTTGTCCCCTCCCCACAGTGTGAGTGGGAGCTGGCTGCAGTGTTCTTGGCAGAGACAAATCCCCGGCACACACCACCGAAAATCCCAGAAAGCTTTATTTGCGTAGGAAGATCAATGCTGTTTAAAAACCCACCACTGCTGGAGGTTGGCGTGGCTGCCCAGTGCCTGTGGGTGCTGCTCAGACACTGGTACCTCCCTGTTTGGCACTGCCTTGGGTGCTGGGGAGCCAAGGGTGCCTGCAAATGGGGCCTCCCCAAAAGCAAGTCTGGCCTGGACACACGGTGGGACCTCATAGGGGACCCCACAGCAGGGGAGGCATGCACAGGGCTGGCAATGGGATGGAGCTGGCTCAGCCTGTCCTTGTGGGTCCTTCAGTCCCCTCCTGGGGTGGCCTGGGGCCAGTTCTCTGTTTGCCCCATCTGTGAGATGGGTGCATGTGGCTGAGCACTCCTTGGGGCTCAGGGGGCTCAGAAGGGCTGGACGATGCTGCCAGTCAGTCCTGCGAGGAAGAGGGTGATGAGTGGTGCCTGAGGAGCCAGGCCAGGGATCACAGCAGGGGTTTCTGCCTGGGTCTGGTTTCAGAAGACAGCGCTGGCCTCCTGCCCGTGTCCCTCTCCTGCCCTGCAGGGTCCATTCTGCCATGGCAGGTGGGTCACCGGAGCACTCACTGTGCCATGGGGGCATCACAGCCTCCAAGGAAAGGGGTGAATCCTGTTTCCATCCTGCCCTGTCTGGAAGACTCTGGGCCCTCTCTTGCACCCATGCCCATGGGGCCAGCTGGGCTGCAACCTCCTCCAGGCTGACTGTGGGCAGAGGGAAAGGAGAGCATCACCACACTCCTCTCTGGAGGACTTAAACATCACCTGTTGCTTTTATTTCCTGCAAAGCATGGAGGGTATCCAGGTCTGGAGGGCTGGAAGTCTTGCTGATCTTGTCCTTTTGGGGTCCCAGTTGCTCTCCTCTGCAGTGGAGGAGTATTAGGGATGAACTTGCCCAGGGGATGCTGGTTGCTGGACTGGGGAATGGGGCGATTTTCATCTCCATCTCTCTTCTGTCACCATGGTGCTGCAGGAATGCAGCAGTCTCGGGATGCCCCACTCACTCTGCTCCTCCAAAAGGATTGGCCAAGCTTTCCCCACTACTTTCATCCCAAAAAGCCTCCCTTGGAATATGGGCTGTGGGCCCTACCTTGCTGATAACGTAGTGCCATCTCCCCAGTGCCAAGTGACTCCCATCTGCAACTGCGGTGGCCATCTGTGGCCCTTCAGTAGGACTGAGTTTGCCTGCTGCCTGCCTCAGGGCTGGCGTTTCCTTGGAGCCAGCAGAGTCTCCTGCCCACTGTCCCTGTCAGTCCTGCCTGCAGCCCTGGGCATCACAGACAGTTCTGAGCTCTGCAGGGAGGGCAGCATCCCCGACCTGCTGCTTTGCTGGGTGTTGGAGCTGGGTGGGGCTGGAGGGGCCCTGTCCATTGCTGGGCAGGGGGCTATGGGGCCACAGCCAGCACCCCAAAGAGTCCAGGTGCAGGCAGGAGTGCTGCCTGCTCTTTCCTGGCTGCTGGGGGCCCACAGCTCAGTGACACAGGCTGGAGAAGCAGCAGCCTAAAGTGGTAGGTGTGGAGAGGGGGAGGGTATTTTTCTGGAAGGTGATGTTTTCTGGCTACTGGCTGTGCCAAAGTACCCGGGGGCTCTCCTGGGCTTCCCCCAGCAACACAGCATTCCTGGGGTGTAGCTGTTTCCCTGTGCCCTGACAGCACAGCATCCTGGGGTACCTGGGGGTGACACCATGCAGGAAGCAGGAGGGGTCCATCTCTCCAGCTGACCATGGGGACCTGTGATTGTTGATCCCCCACTTTGTGCTACGGAATCCAGTGGGGCACGGGAGCTGCCACATGTCCAGGCTCCGAGGCTCAGCCCAGCTGTGCCACCGCTCCAGGATAAAGGGAAATGTAGTTCTGGCTGAGCTTGTGGCACCTGGGCACACTGTGGGGATCACACCAAGAGGCAGTCATGCTTTTCCAGCCTCAGGGCACCGAGTGGATGTCCTCTGAGCGCAGCACTTTGTAAACGACCCAGTAGAAGATATTGAAGACCAGGAAGGTGAAGGGGAAGACGGCTCGGGAGATGGTGTCGATCCGCTTGGCCCGGTCGATGTAGCGCCTGCGGAGGCTCTCCCCTTCCCGCAGCACGGCGCTGGCTGGCGGGGGGCTGTACACGCCAGGGCCCTCCCCAGCCCCCTCCTTGGGCTGCAGGCAGGGGCCCAGCCCGTAGCCTCGCAGGTAGAAGCGGCTCTCGCGGCTCAGCTCTTCCTCCTGGCGAAGGGAAAGGCCGTCAGCCAGGGCACCTGTGGGTGCTGGCGCTGCAGGGCTGAGGCTGCACGTCCTGCACACCCTGTGGTGCTGGGTGACGAGGGTCTGTGCGAGGCTGGGCGCTCTGTCAGACACCCCCAGCCACGCAGGGGGCCGGCAGTGCTGTGCACAGGGTACGGGCTGAGCACTGAGCCCCGGCCTTCTCATCCAGCATGTGTTTCAGGGTGCATCCAAAGGCGACCCGACCCTGGCAGCCCTGCACATGCCCCCAGCTTCCTCCCAGCTCCAGCTCTGGGGCTTGGGAAGCCTGACTCTGGCAGCCAGAGGGATGGGAGGTGAACTGGTGGAAGGGGGCACATAGGGGGTGCAGGGTGTATTTGGTGCAGGGAGCTGAGGTGTGCAGGCACTGCTGTGACTGCTGTGTTTGCTGTGGGGTGGAAGTGTGACTGTGATGGTGAATAGGAGGGGATGGGCAGGTTGCTGGGGCTGAGCAGGGCAGGGATGCAGGAACCTGGCTACACCAGGGCTTGCAGGGCACCCCAGTCTCTCCAAGAACCCACGCTCTCATTTCTCCTCACGTCTGCTTGGCAGAGACTGCCTGGTGCAGCAGAGGAGGGAGGCTGAGAGAGCTGGATTCCTTGCTGGTCTCTCTGCCTTTGCTCACCCTCTCTCCCCTTGCTGGCAGAGGGCTGCAGAGAGGGCAATGTGCCCATGGAATCGCATGTTCACGATCAAGGCTGCAAAACTGCCGTGAGAGTCTCTGGCCGCAGCCCACTGCCATTGTTCAGGGCACGGATTGGGTGCCTCAGGGGCTGGCCAGCAGTGCCTGCACTCCTCCCCATCAACAGCTGTGCACGGTTTGCCACTTGCCTTGTCCTGCTCTTTTAGCCTTGGAGAGGGTTATGTGCGCAAAGATTTGATGAGGGATGGGCATGTGCAAGCACAGGCTGCACATCTGGCTTTTTGCTGAGCCCCTGGACTCATTTGGTCTCTGTGGCTCAGCTCAGCTCCCCTCTGCCTTTGCTGGTGCTGTATCTGGCTGTGGTGTGTCCCTTCTTCCAAGGCCTGCTGCAGGTCAGTGCCTCACTTTGTGTCTGGGTGCTGTTTTGGATCCCAAACACCATCTCTGGCCAGCACTGCCCTCCAGGACACAGAGGCTGCTTGCTGAGCTCAGCCCCTGCAGGCGCTTGGCTGGCACAGGGGCTCTCATGCAGAGAGTTTTTACTCTGGCATCTTTATTTAACTCAGCAATCCACAGGCTAAGCAAGATTTTACAGTGGGAAGAGCAGCAGTAGCTCAGATTGCTGAGGTTAGTTGTCGTTTGCAGTACAGTTTTATTTCCCTGCCTCAGGCTGAGTGCCTGCAGCCAGTCTGGGCAGGGGGAGCTGGGGTGCTCTGTGTGCCCTGGGGACCAGCAGCTGCTCCCCCAGCTTGGGGAGCCAGCAGGCCTAGCCTGCTCCTGAGCCTGGTTTTGGATGGTCTGTGGGAGGGATTTACCCTCAGGCTGTGGAACCCAGGCTTTGCTTTCCCAGGCACAAGAGCTGCGTGTAGCAGGGCTCTGCTCCCACCTCTGACTGAGCAGCACCCTGGGGTGTTCCTGCTGCATCTAGTGCTGTGCCAGCAGCACCCTGGGGTGGCTCTGCAGCCTCCACCTCAGGGCAGCTGCACTTTGGTCTGTTCTAAGCCAGCAGATGGTCCTTGGGTTGGACAGAGCCTCCCGCTCCCTGCCCAGGCTGGGTGGGTGTTGATCTCCAGGAGTCATCTGTGAAAGGCAGGGTGCAAAGATGCCTCTCCTGGCATCCAAGGGCTGATGATGGTGTAGAGGTGAGGGTGACCAGGCCTGATCTCCTCTTTGGAGATGTGGTTGACCCCCTGCATCTCCCCATATCCTGGGAACTTGCCCTGCCCCACACTTCTTCTCCCTATGCCTCAAGCTGCAAAGTGCCTGTGTGCCCTGAGCAGCTGCCTGTGCTGGAGTGGCTGCAGGCAGCCAGGAGTGCCTGGAACCTGCCCGCAGGGAGGCAGAGCCCTCACCCTGCCAGAGGTGTGGGCATGGCTGGGGAGCTGGGCAGCAGCCCAGGAGCAGCCATCAGCCAGCCTCAGCAAAAGGGACTGTGCCGGTGCTGCTTTACAGAAGGGGAACCCAAGACATGGAGTGGGGGTGTCTACGGGGAAATCTGCTCCGTTCCCATCCCTCTCTCAAAACTTTTGAGCCCAGGAACTGGCAGCTGCATCCTACGGGCACATACTCTTTGCAAATCACTGGCCTGCTTCTTCCACAGGCCCTTGCTGATCCCCAGGGCTGGCTCCTGGGGGCTCCTTTTGGGGAGGGGAGGGTGAGGCTGGCTGGGGAAGCACGGGGGGCTGCCGGAGGGTCGTGCTTTACCCGGGAGCTGGAGAGCTGCGAGAGCGTCGCGTAGGTGTGCTCGCTGCTGTGCCGGCTGCTCAGCTGCCGCAGGGACTCCAGGCTGGCCGTGCCGCTGCTCAGGCCCTTTTGGCATCCAGCAGTGTGCACCAAACAGAAACAGGACAGCGGGTGACCGAGGGCTCTACCCCGCTCCCGGGGCAGCGGCTCTGGGTGCCACGATGGGGATGGTGGGGAGTCGGGGGCTCTGGGGGGGGGAAAAAGCCCCCACAGTGTGCCCTGGCAATGGGACCTGTCTTCAGCACATGCTGAAGGGATTTAGTTGCATGGGACTCTGTGAGCCTGTGTGGTGTGTGTGTGTGTGTACTCATGTCTTCTGTGGAGATCTGCTGCCTCACAGAGTGTTTATGGCAAGAAAATGAGTGTGGGGCAGCCACATGCCTACCCCAAGCTTCTTGCAGGCCTGATGCCTGTGTTGATGGGCTGACAGAGGGGAGGACTATTGCCATGAGTGAGGGATCCTGTCTCTCCAGATGGTGCAGTGCTCCCTTCTGCAGCCCAGACCTATCCCTGGGTGCCACCAGGTCCCTGACACAGCAGTGAGTCCCTGTCACCACTATGGCACAGCAAGGAGCCCAGGTTTGGAGCTGCAGCTAAGGGGAAAGGCTGTTTTTTCCCCCCATCCTCACTGTTTATTTTTCTGCATTTTTAGAGGAAGCAGAGCCTGAGGATGTCCCAGCAGCAGAAGGACAGCACCCTAAGCAGGGTCTGAAGCACCCATGGGTGCTGTGCACTGTGCTGCAGTGCCTGTGGGTCCCCGGGGTGCTGGAGGAGCCATCTGGGGCAAGGGAACACAGCCCTGCCCTGGGGGCTGCTGAGAAACTGTCCCTGCAGCCCTGGGGTGTCCCCTCAGGGGCTGAGGATGAGCAGATGTCATGAGAGAGGGGGGGACTCACCATCCTCTGCCGTCGCTGGCGGCGGCGCAGGCGCATGAACTCCTTATGCTGGCGGGAGACAAAGTTGACGGCTGCATACTCCAGCAAGGCGGCGAAGACGAAGAGCAGGCACACGGCCATCCAGATGTCAATGGCCTTCACATAGGACACCTGCCGGGGTGAGAGGGGGCTCAGGGACCCACTGCCCCCCACTTTGTTCATCCCCCCCCACTGCCAGCTTCGTCCCCCTGCCAAGAAGCGTGGGAGCCCTCTCAGCCTGGGCACACGGGCCAGGGCAGCGTTTCCCCTCAGCACATGTGGTGCCCCAGCTGATGAGGCTCCAAAACCAAGCCATTCCCAGGGAAAGGCTACCCCTGCCCCTAGGGCAAGGCGGGGGGCTGCAGCGGGGGAACCCAGCACTGACCTTGGGCAGGGAGGCCCGGGAGCCGGCGCTCTGCGTGGTCATGGTGAGCACCGTGGTGATGCCCAGGCCCACCCGGGCTGGTGCCGCATCCATGTTGATCCAGAAGGAGACCCAGGAGAGGATGACAATGAGCAGGCTGGGGATGTACATCTGGATCAGGTAGTAACCCATCTGCCTCTCCAGGTGGAACTTTACCTCAATGCAGGTGAACTTGCCTGTAGGGAAAGATGGCCCCAGTGGGTGAGAGGGACCCCTGGGTCATGGCGAGGGGATGGCAGCAGGTCCCTGGGGTGCTCACCTGTGTTGTAGTACTTGGTGCAATAGCCCAGGTCCTTCTCATCCCTGAGGATGAACTGTGGGAGTGTCAAGCCCTCTGCCACCTGCACAGCCTCCTGCTCCTCCAGCCACTCGAAGATGAGGTCGTTCATAGTGTAGCCAACTGGAGGGGATGTAGGGAGCCATGGGATGGGGACATGTACCCTGTTCAACCCCACCCTGAACTTTGTCCTGCTTCTGTCCCTCAGAAAAAGTGAGCTGGCAGCTTTTGGGATGGCATGGAATGGGAGGGGATGGGATAGGAAGAGGGAAATGAAGCACAGCTTGAACCCCCTGAGGTACTCACAACTCTCCAGCTGCATGGTGCATGTCTGGATGTCCATGGGGAAGTTCTTGAGGTCCATAGGGCAGGACAGGATCAGTGTCAGCCTGGAGGAGGCAGAGGAAAGGAGGGAGTTGTTGGAGCTGGGGCAGACAGTGGGGAACAGTTGCCACATGGAAGGCAAGAGAGCTTTGCCTCCCCACTCAGGCACTGCACCAGAGGGGAAGATTCTACCTAATGCTGTAGAGCACATTGCCATTCTTGAAGATGCGCAGGAGCTTGTTGTCGGTGGTGACCTCATGGAAATTGGCCCCTTTCTCATTGGCAAAGAACAAGTCTGGCTTCCAGATGGAGTCGAGCATGGAGGGGTCGAGGTCGAGGGAGTCATCGGGGTACTCCCGGTAAGCCAGGCGGGGGTCGTTCCACTGCTGCCGCAGGAACACGTTCACCCGGTAGTCCTGGGACAGAGGGCACCACGTCAGCTGCGGGCACCCCGTGGTGCCTGGGGAGGAGGAGGAGGAGGAGGGATGGAGGAGGTGGAAGGGGCTGCGTCCCCTGAGGCTCAGCCCTGCTGTTGCTGCGTGCCTGACACTAATAAAGCGTGGAGCAGGGGCAGCTCAGGAGCCTTCCCATGCTGTTGGCAGCCAGGGGAAATTAAAAAGCCAAGGCCACAGCAGCTGAGAGGAGAAGGAGGAGGAAGACCAGTAACTGCTGCCTGCAGCATTCTGCACAATGCTCTGTGGGCCTCTTGATAGTATTAAGGCTTTTGCAGAAGCACAAATAGGACATTTTAGCCCTGGGACTTTCTCTGAGGTGTTCCTCAAGCACCCAAGGAGGTTCAGGATGGTGGGGGACTGCATCCAGCTGCCCCACTGTAATCCTTTTGGGGGGGAGTGTCTTTCTTCCAGCTCAGGCACAAGGAATGTGACCCACACAGCCAAGCTTGTGTTAGCTGACCCCAGAAAAGCCACAGCCGTGTCCCCACCGTGGTGCCAGGATGGCTCAGAGAAGGGGTCACAGGAGCCCCTGTAAGCACAGCCATGGGCACTGGGACCCACATGCTCTCCTGCAAAGCTGCTGCGAGAGGAGAGGAGAGGAGAGGAGAGGAGAGGAGAGGAGAGGAGAGGAGAGCCCGCCACGCCAGCAAAACCCTCACCATGGTGGTCTCGGTGACGGAGCCAAAGCTGTTGATGAAGATGTTGCACGTCACGTTGACAGGTGGTCCTGGAAAACAGCGTGAAGCCTCCTCTTGCCGCCGGCTGCCGAGACACGTGCGCTCCGCGGGCACACGCGGGGACACCGGCTCCGGCAGGCGCACACAGGCGTCCCCTGCCTGTCCCCGGGGTGTGGGTGAGCCCCAGCACACCCTGCAGGCACTGCAGCCGCCCGTGCTGTCAGGCACAGTGAGTACACAGTGCTGGCAGGAGTGGCCGGGACACCGGGGAGGGTGTTGGGACACGGGGATGTGAGTCAGGGTTCTGCCCCAAAGCCCCCGGGTTTGGGCAGCCAGAAGCATGGATCTGCCAGGTTTGGAACCCTCACACCTTCTCTCTTACCTTTGAAGTTGGGTCGAATGCGGGCGTCGTACCCTGAGGTTCGTCCCATAAGCTTGTCCAGGAAATCAGAGGGTGACATGGGCTGGGGTGAGCTTCGGGACCCAGCTTTAATCTCCTCCCGCCCTGAGACCAGCCTGTGGGGCAGAGGAGGCAGGTCAGCTGCTGCCTGCTGGCACCAGGAGTCTGCAGGCCCATTTTGGCACCCTGTGGGGACACTTGGCTGCCAGGGCAGGCGGCTGTGCCCGTGCTGCAGCCACTCCAGTTCCCAGTCAGCATGTTGGAGGGATCCCTTCCTTCTGCTGCGATCCTGGTGGCTTTCCCCCTCACCTGAGTGTCACATGCCCACATTTTGCCCGTCCCTGCTCCACCACGTCCCTTGGCATGGGACTGGGTGCCAGTGCCTCTTGGCTCCAGGGCTGTGGTGAAGACAGGTCACAACCAGTGCTGGAGGGGGAAAGCAGGGAGGCTCCTCGGTTTCCACCTGCATCTCTGGCTTGAGTTACTGAGCAAACAATCACACATTGCCTGTCATGGACTCATGGCTTGGGGGACACAATGACCCTGCCTGAGTGAGGAGGTGTCCAGAGCACAGCTGGGTTCTGACACCTTGCCAGGGGCCAAGGAGATGTGGCAGGAGAGGAGCAGCAAAGCCCACCTCCATACTAGCCATGGTGATGAGCTCTCCCACACAGCGCTCCGAATGATGATGGAGATTTATTTAAACTGACTCTGGAGGGGATATTTTTGTGAATGCATCTTAGCCTGCCAGCTTCTCTCTTCCTGTCAGTCTATAATGATAATTTCAAGGAACAATGCGAGAGATGTTCACTCACCACATTGCCAGGCATGTGGCTGTGATGGAGAGGAATTAGCCAGAGATCTCTGGGCACAAAAGAAGCTTTGAGCATGCTGCTGGTGCTGCTGCATGCTGCCTTATAACTCCACCAGATCTATGCCCAGGTGGATCCCACTCCTCCTTGGTGCTACAACCCCATCACTACAAGAAGAGGGCTGGGAGCCCTGTGGTCCTTCCTCCTACCTCTTTTCAAAGGGGTGAATTCATCCTAGAGGGGTTTATGTGCACCCTTACGAGCTAGAAATGGTCACAACCAAAATATTCCAGTGGGGAAGGTTTTCCTTTAATTGGAGAAGGGCAGCAGAGAATACCTGAGATTCATCCTAATCAAGAGCAAAAGGCTGGGAGAAATTCCCTGCCAGGAGCTGCACGAGCATGGTGTGGTGCCTTTGGGAGGAGGGCTGCAAGAGGCCAGGCTAACGAGGAGTTAAGTGAGGCTTCTGCCTACCACACAGCCATGAACCATGTCCTCCTCAGCAGGAGAGGACAGTGAGGGTTCTCCCCTGGAGCACGTGGGAGGGAGGCTCCCGGGTTCCCTTGGCAGGTAGCTCCTTGAAGAGGCTCAGATGACTGCCTGAGCCACAGCGGATCTGCAGCTCAAACCTGCGTGGGGGATGCCAAAATGCCCAGAGTGCAGCCACTTCCCACGGCATCCCTGGCAGGGCCATGCTGGGACGAAGCTCTTGGGCACAGCCCCTGCCTGCAGCTCCCCACTGGAGGCACTGCCTGCCCTGGGGCCTCTGCCCCACCCTGGGCTGGCCACCGCAGGGCCCTGGAACTCAGCACCTCTGTGGAGCGAGTGGACGGCAGGGCTGGAAAATGCTGATGTCTGCCTAAAAACGCTGCCCTGAGACAAGCAGATTCTGCACGTGAAGCAATTCTATTTTACCCATCCTTGCCATAAATGTTGCAAATTCCCCCCATGCTGCTCCAGCCATACTGAGTGGTGGGAAGGGGACCGGGATCAGGCTCAGCCCAGGAGTCCCGCAGCCCTCAACCCCTCCCTTCCTGACCCACTCTCCTTTGCATCCCACCTTGTCCCATATAACATCCGAGGTGGGCAGAGATGGAAAAAGGGACTTGGGGGACTTTAGATTTTCCACCCAAGTGGGACAAGGGTTGTTCCTGTACCCATGGGACCTGGGGCACCCCCCCCCCCCCACTGCCCCGAGGGCCCTAGGGTCGGGGCCAGGGCCT